TATTATTATTGCTACTATAATTGTTACTATTATTGTTGTTTATAATTTGTACAATTAACCTCCCTGTGGTTCGACCTCGGTCTTGCTAGGTTATTTATTACTTCGACACTCCTGCACTTGGGAGAAGACATCAATCTTTTAGTCGTGTCACATGACATACCTTGTAGGCAGTAAGTTTGATTCGTTGATGAGCAATTTTTACTATCTCGGGGGAAGAACTAGGTTCTCCTTCTTTCAGAGACTTATAGCCCCGTTCTTTACTTTCCAACACAACTAACCTCACTTGAAACGGAATCTTAGAACTCCGAATATAGTTAAAAATCTAAGAAGAGATCGGAATGCGACCTCTGTAGACCATAACAGTCTAATGTCTAGATAGTAATAGTTCAAGACAGTAACAGTTCAATACAATAACAGTTCAAGATAGTAACAGTTGGACAATAACAGTCCAATGTCTAAACAATAATAGTTCAATACAGTAACGGTAGGATAGTAACAATCCAAGGTCTAGACAATAATAGTTGAAATATAAAGAAATGAATGATAACTATGGTGGGACAAAGAATGATAATATTAATGGGTGTAATGAGAAAAACATAAAATATAAAAATATATGATTGAAAGAAAGATCTATTAACTGTTGATATGATGATTATTATAAAACATATCATTAAATGAGGAAAATTTATGAGATAAGCTTGGAATTTCATAAGGGACCACAGCTGTGGTGCAATAGCAGGAGAGCACGAGTAGAGCTTCTATTGCAGGTAGGTGATCCTCACCTAAGCTTTTTAGTTAAATCCAAGCACTTAATATGTTAATAATGTGAGTTGTGAATTTGCAAAGTTGGATATTATGTGAAAGGATGAAAGTTGGTGTAATGATGTTGTTATTTTGGATAATATTATGAGTGTGTGTGTGTTTAAGGTGAACTACCTTTGTGTGCATTGCTAAGTGATAGGAGTTCCACCAACAAAGAAAATAAGAGAAGTGTAATATGTGTTTCGACTAGCAAACATTTAGTGTATGTTAGGATCCCGGATAAGGAAATTACCATATTTTTTTACTAGTATACATTTAGTGTATGTTAGGATCCCAAGTAAGAGGATTATCATAATTTCTGACTAGCATACATTTAGTGTATGTTAAGATTCCGGGTAAGGGGATCTCCATATGTTAATGCTAATGGGATGATGATGATACCGGTGAAAAAGGTAATAGTAATGTATAGATGAGACAATTGCAGTTGATTTCAATAGATCTTTAATGGAAGTTGGAAATGAGAGATGAAACAATTTTCAGTAGATGAATGAGGAGTTCTAATGAAAACGAATAGGGAAAAAGAATAAAACAAGAATGCATATCTATTTTTTTAAATTATTGAAAATTTATGCTACTATACTTGTTGTGATATTTATATTTCAATAATATGCATGTTGTTTCAGAACCATCACATACACGACATGAGTAAATAATATGTATTCACTTTTTGTTATGTAGTCTAGGATGGATGACTTTATATTTTGTAAATATGGAAACATTTGTATAACTTAATCTATATAATTAATATTTAAACTTGATTGGATGAACTTAACTATGTAGTTTATATAATCATATTTCATGTATGCGTATTTACATATTTTATCTATCTATAATGATGTTTGTTATATAATGCATATCATAAATATTATGGTTAATATGTATAATGATGTTTGTGAGATTGAGACCCAATATAATTGGGTCATGATTAAGTTAGGAAACCTTTTAATATAAACAGATTAAATGTTGATAACTTAAGACCTTTTAATATAGAGAAATTTTGTCAAAATTTTGATAGATAAATTATATATATATATATATTAATTACATTATTTTTAATAGATTTGAGATTGTTGTTTTTATTCCAAATATGTAAATGTTAATACATAGAACATATATAGAAAAAATATAAAAGGATAAATAATAAAAAATGCATAGAAAAATCCCACATGGTTTAGAGTATAAGGTAATGGGCTGTGAATTCTGGGCTGTGACGAACCATTTTGTCCTAAACATAAGATGGGCTATTTGTGTTAGGGTTCAGTTTCGAAACTTGTTGCCGCCGAGGTCCAGGCGAAGCGCAAGTCATTTTGCGGGGAGAGGAATGGGTGTGGTAGCAAGAAAAGGTATGCCAGTGTACAAGATTTACAGGGCGTTAAGCTACGTTGTATCACCGCTATTGCAACTTCACCTCCGTTGGCGAAAGATCCGAGGTCTCGAGCACCCAACCCGTTTGCCTGAGCGTTTGGGACGGCCTTCCCTGACTCGACCGCCTGGCCCGCTCCTTTGGTTCCACGCTGTTTCTTTAGGTTAATAATAAGACACGTTTTGTTTAAATTAATAAAAGAAAAGCTCTTAAGTGTTACTGCTTCTGTATTTGCAGGTGAAGGAATGGCTGCGATTCGGGTGATTAAAGAATGCGTTAAGTGGAGGCCTGATTTGAACATTTTGTTGACAACAACCACCATGTCTGCTTTGTAAGCAGAAGAGACGAAATTATTATTATTATTATTAGGACTAAAATTCCTTCATACCAGTTGATTTAATAAAGAACAACATTGATTTCTACTTTGTATTTACTACTGAATGTGAGAGAATCAGAATGCAAAACATAAAAGATGTTTTTCCTTCTTGTGCAGTGAAGTTATAATTAATCAGCTTCCAACCGGTGTCCTACATCAGGTACTTCTTCGGCGGAGATTTCAATCCTCTGAATTCTAACTCTAATGATTTTCCAGTTTTCTGTTTTCACGCATTAGTTGCTTTTTTATATTTTTGGTAAATTTGAGCAGTCTAAGAAGCTGCGATTGGTATTTGAATAAATTACGGTGCTCTCTTATTCACTTGATGCATTCAATCTTTCTAATTGAACAAGTTTTCTCCAATCGATACCCCTGCTGCCATGGATTCTTTCCTGGACTATTGGAACCCAAATGCAATCATGTTACTAGAGAGTGAACTATGGCCAAATCTTATCATGGCTTCTTCGAGAAAGGGTGTAAGTTATTCCTTCCTTTTAACCTGTATGATGCTTCATTAACAACGATAGTTTGATTTCCTGACAGTGTTATGAGATACACACGTTGCCTAGGTCTGTGACTGCTTATTTCAGCCAACTAGTTTTTTTATATATTTCGCATTTCTCTGCATGCCAATTCTTATGTGGTTTATACTCATGCATGTCAGATTCTACTGGCCTTATTAAATGCTCGAGTTTCTATGAAATCCTTCAAATTATGGTCGTCTCCTGTGCTTTTTCCACTCATTTCGTTATTGCTTTCCAAGTTCTCCTTGATTATCCCACTGGTATGTTTTCCCACGTGTTCTATGCCATTTCTGTCTTTCATTCTGTTCTCACTTGTCTTCTTTGTTTGCCTCAGAGTTCTATGCAGGCAATCCATTTCCAGCTTTTGCAGGCCCCACCTTTTATCATCAACTTTGCTGGTGACTTGAAATATGGTATGCAGATAAACTCTGAGTATGAAGTTCTTTCATTTTTGAACAGGTTGACTAAAAAAGGAGTCCATCACATTGACGGCTGTCCTTGGTGGATAAGTAACTGTCAAAGTTTCCTATACATTGAGCATTTACTAGTAACAGTTATTCTGTCATGTGTAACTCGCATGATCACCTGTGTTATTAATCCAGTGGATCTTCTCAGAAAGAAGAAAGTTCTTAAAACCTATTCCCATAATTGACAGTGTATTTTAGAACATAAAGAAAATACACTATGAAAAAAGGATAATGAATCCTAACCTGCTTCCCATGATTTATATGATGGATCTTAGAAGCCATATCTACTAAGTAGTTTCCAGAACATAGAGAAAATACTCAAGTAGGACGTAGATAATATAACATGAGAAAATTCTAGTGTATGGAGCTTAATACCAAGAAGGACATAATAGCATCTCCACCCTGAAACTTGCCCTTCCGTTTATACTATAACAGTCTTTTATTCCTTTTTGTTGTTCAATACCCAGGCCTCGGACCTCTGTCAAGAAAAAGGGCACACTATGATTGCTTTCTTATCTTCCCTCCCATCTTGGCCCTCCCTTTAACTGAAGTTAGAATTGGTATGCACAGGCAATTAGGCATATTGGCTGCCATAACTGAAATTCAAAAGATACTTAACACTGTTAAAATGATTGTATACATATTTTAAATTATTTTTGCTTCAATACTTTAATGTAACAACCAGACAAGTACTGTGGGAAACCTGGCTCAGATTTATCTAGTCTGATAATTTGAATTTGATTCATGTATCCCTCTGTGACGAAGCATAGAATCAAAATATCCTCGTCTGCCATAAAGTTATTTGAGTCCTCAAAGAAGACTATGGATTTCAGGGATCTTAATCAAAATAAACTCCAGAAGAGGTTTGAATCTTGGAGAAAGTAGACAATTAAATATAAAAAGTACTCTTGATAACCATGATTAGTATAGACACAAATTCAATGTAAAACATAAACACACTTTTTACATGCCAAAAAAAGAAAAGAAAAGAAAAGAAAAGAAAAGAAAAGAAATCACCTGATGCAAATCTGGAATAGATTAGTGCAAAATCTGTGTTGCCTTCTGTTTGAAGGATCTGAACCTTGTGCTTGATTTCTGAAATATGAAGCCTTCTTGTCTTTCCAGAAACGTGCCTAGAATCAAAGGATTTTTCTAGCTAGTTTATTGACCTACTGTGAGAAGTGGTAACTTATGTTATTATAAAGAATATCTGAATTATCTATACCAGAATTTGCATCAAGGGATGTTCTTATTATTATGATTATTATTAGGAGTCATAATAGGTAAAATATTTTGTATATTGTTGTCAGGTGGGCTAAAAATAAAGCCTTCTTTTGTCATCATAATCATTTCTCCACATTCCCACTTATACATGTAGTACACATTAAAGGATAGATACATGGTTTATGATGATAGATTTTGAAATCAAATCATTACCATCTAGTACACTTAAGGGACGTTGTTATTATTATGATTATTATTAGGAGTCATAGGAGGTAAAATGTTTTGTATATTGTTGTCAGGTGGGCAAAAAATAAAGCCTTTTGTCATCATAATCATTTCTCCACATTCCACTTATACATGTAGTGCACATTAAGGGATAGATACATGGTTTCTGATGATAGATTTTGAAATCAAATCATTACCATCTAAGTTCCTTTTTTTCTGTTTCTTTATTATTTGTTCGGGAAATTGTGAAGACAAAAGTGCGGTTATCCTACTCTAAAGTTATCATTGCTTCTTCACAGTGGTAGAATATGATGCTTCTAAGGAAGAGTTCAGAAGCATAGATGATCTGAAGGTACAGCTTGGGCATAGGAAAGTTTGGATGGCTTCTTCCATTCATAGGGGAGAAGAAGAAGGTTATTGCCTATTATTCCACTACTGTTGCATTTCGTAATTCACTTTCCATTTCCAGGGTCATTTGTTTGTCACAATCTAATGTGTACCTTGCCTCCTTTTTATGACACTGATGACTGTTATTTTTTGAAAGTTTTGTACAACTTAATTGTCTCTTGCTTTATGGTTGAATTATGCAAGTACCAGAGATAGTATGCTTCTTATAGTTTGTTGTGATCAAGGATGCCTATGTTTTGAGGGTTTTATTTATTTATTTTGTGCGCTTAATTTGTTGAAATTTGCAGTTATGCTAGGAGTTCACAAAGTGCTCAAGCAAGTGTATCCTGATCTGGTCACTATTATTGTACCTCGTTATCCACAACATGGAAAAGACATAGCACAAGTATGATTTTGATTTATGATGCAATTTTTTCAGTTCACTGAAACATGTTTGTGCACACACATGGGCATGTTGAGAGGGCTGTGCTCCTTTCATAACTCTCTTGGTAGTTTTTTTTCAGTCACAACTGTGGATATACATTAATGTGTAACATTGGAGTCAATAATCTTAAATGTTATAAGCCACAAGGCAGATTAGACATTTATGCCTTGCACAAAATTTTAAAGATAACCATCTCTTAAGTGGGGGAAATAGTTAACTATAACTTATATATCCTATTACCATAGGACTGGTGCATGTTGACAAATTCTGCACACTGATAAATTATGTTGTGTCGTGATCAGAATGGATTTTTTTTATTAATAAGTGAGAAACAGGCACGATTTTTAATAATAGTTTCATATTAGAACAGGCACCATGGTAGTCAATATTTGATTTTAGATAATAATCCACCACACAGATATTTTAGTTTAAAAATTTTCACATGAGTAGCAATATATCAATAGTTAATGAACTCATGAATCATTGAGAATTTTTTAGCAGACAAAATCAAATAGGTTGCTTTGTTGATTGTCATGACTGTTCTATAAACTCTTATTTCCTTAATCAAATTCGTTGGCAATAAAATAGCTCTTTTGCTGGTTTTGAGGAATGCAGAAATTGCAGAAAGAAGGGCAGCATGTTGCTTTGAGGTCTCAACATCAAAGGATCGTACCAGGAAGAAACATATATGTGGTGGACACATTAGGTCTGCAATTATTTTGACTTTTTTGCTTTACTATTTCTAGAATCTCGCTTTTACTTTTGGATGGAACATTTGAGAAATGGGGACATCTTATTGATTCCATTACTAGCTAAGTAATCCTTCTTTTTGCATGATCAATCACATTCTTATAACTCAAGGTTTCTTATAACTTAAGGTGTCTAGGTGTTCAACAATGAACTTTGTCTATCACAGAGTCGGCTAATCTGGATGGCCCCTAAGATTTGAGGCCTTTTTTGCATAGTTTTAAAATCCGGCCCGGCCCGGCGGGTTGACCCGGGACCCGTCCGACCCGGGGCTGGAACCGGGCCGGGTTGATGAAAAAATAAGGTGAGCCGTGACCCGGCCGACCCGGCGGATTGACCCGGAAACCCGGACGACCCGGCAAAACCCGGTTGCAACCCGTTGACTTTTGTTTTTTTTTTTACTAAAACGACGTTGTTTTGAATTTTTTTTAAAATAGAAATTGACCCGGCCGACCCGATCAAAACCCGGTGACCCGGTCAAAACCCGGAACCCGGGCCTTGAACCGGGCCGGGTTTAAAAACTATGCTTTTTTGACATCACTATATATATATATATATATGTGTGCGTGTAGGGTGTTCTATTGAGACTCCTTTTGATAGATTTCATCCATTTTTTCATTAAATAGATACAAGTTGCCCATTTTCCCTTCTGTAATGTTATTGAATCATAAAAAAAATAAAAAATAAAAATATCATTTTATGACTAAAATAGGCGGAATCTAGCAGAAGGGGTTTGTCAATCAAAACATTATATTGGTTAAACGTGAAATCAGAAAACAAAATTTAGGTGTCAATCAAAAAGGCACATAATTCAGTGGCTGTTTATACAGTTTAGCCTTAAAATTCCTAATTTGAGATATAGTTAGTGGTATGATATAGATAAGATTTTCATTTTCTTAAAAGAACAAATTAAGTCCTTTTTCTATCCAGGCATTTACGAATGACAGGTTGCAGTGTTTTTGTTTGTACATAAGTTCATTTATATAGAGACTGAAAACAAAAGGAAGAAATGGCAAGATAAGCTATATATGACTCTGGATGTATATAAATAGAGATGGAATAACATTTTTAGTTCAGATTAACAGGAATCTAGATAAAGTGAAAGCTTTTAGGTGCTGTTTAATTACCATATGCATGTCAGTGTATGAAAAGGCTCACTAGGCAACTACCAGACAAGTCAGACATATGGTTCATGTTGTTGCACTGCTCTTACTTTATATAAAATTGTTAAGTGTGGCTAGGCAATGATGGGAATTTTCTTAAATCAAGACATCTTTGAGAAGTTAGGGTGCTACTGGTTAGGGATCAAATGAGGAAACTGATTGGTTTAAGGCCTTGTTTGGTATTACTTTGTTGTGCTTTGGTTGTTGTGATGTACAGTGTCATGTTGTGCCATGAGATGAAATTAAAATTGGTAAAAACATTGTTTGGTAACTGATTGTTATGCTTTTGAAAAATTATATATTACAGGCTTGGCAAACAGTGAGTTGGACATGTCCAATATATTTTTGCTTGGCAGACCCTGTATCAAAATTTCCCACCTCTATTTTCTTTCTTGGGAAGATTTACGTATGCAATTATCTTTTGTAGGTGAGTTGAGACACTTGTATAGGCTAACTCCAATAGCTGTCATAGGAGGTTCCTTCTTCCCGGGATTAGCTGGCCATAACGTATCAGAAGCTGCAGCAGCTGGCTGTGCTGTTTTGACAGGTGGATATTTTTTGTCAGGCCTTGTCTGTTACAATCGATGCATGTAAAATACCATTGTTGAGAAGCTTTCCTGTTTGGCTATTTTCAGGTTATCATGTTGGGCATTTCTCACATATGTTACGGGAAATGCAACGATTAAATCCATTATCAGTTCTGCAGGTTTGAAGAATCCTTATTTTATTTTTTTGCCGTAACCCCTTAAATCACACATTGATTGGAGAGAGAGAGACTGTTTCTGCTCTACATTTTGAAAAGATAGGAAATGCCTCTGCAATATGGCATGTGATGAATAATAATTAGGTTCAGAGGATCTTTTATGAGACAACAGAAGATAGGTGTGGATAACTATGCCTCCACTAAACATCTCACTTTTAGTAAGGAACTTTCATTGATTTTCATCTTGTCTTTACAAGTTCAACCAAGCCAGTTCGGCATTGAACTATATCTTCCGTTGATATGTCATTACAATTGTAACCATTTTCATGTGTGAAAAATTACTAGTCGTGTACATTAAAGGACAACACGGCAACACCCACATAAATTAATTAATAAATAAATAATAATTTTGTGAGATCATATAGAGGGTTTCTACACTGTATCCTCGTACCACGAAAAGAAGATGAAAGTGATTGCTTTATGAAAAATGATAGCCCTGTAAATTGTTTTTGTTCATGCAGGTAACTGGAAAATTAGAGCTTGAAGAAGCTATTTTGAAGTTCTTTAGTGATGGCAAAGTGCTAGAAGCACGACAAACAGCTTCAAAGCAAGCATTTCATGCTTTGTCTAGTGGTATCATCGCCAATGCCTGGAATGTGCTATATTTTCATGTTCTAAAACAGGCTTTGCTAAAAGGTAGATGAAGACTGGAGCACGAGAAATGAATTTGACCATGAAGCTTGTAGCTGCTTCCAGCATTGTTTAAATTAAAAATAAACAATCATATAACATTTGATTAAACAGTAGCTGTTTACTTTGCAAGCCATTAAAGAAAGCTTAAGGAAATCAGGAGTCACAATAGCGAGTGCTATCAAGTCCTATTCAAAAAAAAAAAAAAAAAAGAGGAGAATTTTTAACATTTGAACTAGTGTTAATATATAACCGGGGTTTTAATACACACACACACACACACACACACACACACACACACACAACTATTAGAAGGATAAAGCGTGATGTTTACTAGGATTCAAACTATAAAATCTTATATGCCTTGTATGTACAATTCTATCTATGACCATCCTCATGCGTATTTTTCTTTGCTATTTTACTCACAAACTTGTCGCTTTCTTTAATCCATTAAGTTCCTAATCAGAATTTCTTCTCTTGTTGGATGGAAGAAACAGATAACAGGTAGCATGTGCAAATTGTTATATGATAGATCAACAGGTATAAAAATCAGCACTCCTCATCTTTTCTTATATTCGGCATGTTTCTCCTGTTTTCCTTGAATTTCATGCACGTATTGCTCTTTCCTTTTTCTCTTGTTGTAAATCATTAACCAGCTTCTGTTTTGGAGGCAAGCTTGCATGTAACTTCTCTCTCTAGAGAAGCAAGAGCTGAGTAATTTGTGAATGTTTTCACTGGGTGATTTCATATTATTGAATCTTGAGGTTGCTATTTAACTCCTACCTCAGCTTAGATGTTGCTTTGCAACAAAATTCAATTAGCCTATTCTGCGGATTTTCAATTCTGGAGCTTAAAGCACACTGCTGGTTCTTGGTTGAAAGAGAGGGGATTGCATATGATAATCGGATATTTTGGTGCTAGTCTCAATAATCTTTTCGACTATGCAAATCTCTTATGGTACATGCTGGTTGGGCAGGCTCGTGGAAGTTAGGACGGATTGCATGTTGTCCCACCCCTATCAACTTTTTTTACTTGACTTCCTGGATCCCAAATAATGTTATGCATGAGAGCGATGACAAAAGCTTCTTACTAGGGAAACATGAGTGAACGTTATCATAACAGACTTGCAGAGTGCTTGTTACGTTGGCTCGGTCTTGCTGACGGCCAATCAAATTATTTGCGCTGCTATATATCGCATTATACATCATCAATAATGGGCACTGTATGCCCGTCGCATTCCCTTCTGGCTTCAGTTGACGGGTGTTTTTCGCATTTCTACTTTGTCCGTGCTTGTCTGCTCCTGTTTTTGCAAGTTCGAACAATCTATGTCAGATCAAGTTAAAAATATTTCACGTTTGCATCTTCAACTTTTTTATTGCTGATTGATAATGACAGTGTCGTTTTTGTTGTGAATATAAAAAATTATTGTGATCCGAGGAGGAAGAACTAGACCCCTGTTTTCATTTCCTACACAGGTAGGTACAGCTGCTGCCCTACCATCACGATGACAAATAGATATGTAATTGTCTTTTAGATTGTTAATTTTATGTTGGAGTAAAAAGTTTATAATTTGATCTAATAAAAATATTATTTTAAAAAAATTAAAGTTATAAATAATGATTATCCCTATTCTATGTTTATAACAAATCATGAATAAAAAAGTATAAATCATAATAAAATTGATTAATTTTTTAAAAAGCTTTCATTAACTATGCAAAGATACAAGCATACAATATGTGGTAATTTGTGAAAAAAATTCATCAATTAAATAAAATTTCTTGCATGAAAGTATTTATATATAAATCCTAAAACTAATGAGTCAAACATGTATCCAATTTAAATAATACTTTAAATAATTAAAATAAGCTTTAAATTAATAAAATTAAATAAAAAAAATAGTCTAAGATTATTTTTTATTCTTTACTGCAATTGATAGTAAAAAATATAACCAAAAGAAATAATTGTCAAAGAATCACTATTAAACAAATTTTAATATTTTAACTCAAACATTTTTAGTTAGCTTGTTGAACTCCTCTTAAATCCACTTTGTTTTATGTTTTAGAATAGATTTAATGGATACTCTTAATAGATTTTTTGATGTTCTATCTAGGATTATATCATCCCTTCTCTCATAAAAAAAAACTCAACCTCGAATCATTATTTACATTAAATAAAGAAAAAAAAAACTTTAAATATAGCATTAACATTATATTTATTTTGTAGATCCACTTTGTAGGCATCGAATCTTTTTAGGAATCTGAATGAACCATCTCCTCTAAGCATCAACCTTGATTTTCTATGTCATCTAGAAAATCTCTAGTTATGTGTATACACCCAAACTTAATTTTCCGATTAAAAAAAATTTGTCTTTTATTTGCTTAGAATGCATACTTATCATTCTTTTTCTTAATATGTTGTCATGCCTTCTTAAACAATGCTTTCAACAACTTTGTTTTTTTTTATTGCTATTAAGTCTAACCCTTTCATCAACAACTAAATAAGTCAAATCTAGTAGAATTAAACTATAAACTATTTTAAATGGTAAATCAGTTTTTTAATTTAATAGATTAGCACATAATGATATCTTTTGTAACATATTAAACAAAAATCATAAATGCTTAATCTGCTAACCTAAATTCTTACTATGAATATCATCAAAGTAATCAATAACAAAGTTACCAATGAATACACATAATACATTATTTATTAATCTCATTAAATTACTATGTGTAATAGTAAGACTAAACAACATGATTAACCATTCCTTCAAGAAGACAAGGTTGAACAGTTATTGGTTGAGTGTTCATTTGTTTCACATATTTGACACGCAATGTTTTCAACGGATTTTAATTAACCACTCTATTTTAATTCTAGTACCTCAACTTTTCTAGCTAAAGATGCAAACTTAGTTTGAAGGTTATAATCTTCTATAAGGTTGTACATACCTCCACTAGATATATGAGGTTGAGTTTTACTCGGTTCCTGACATGACTAAAAGATTGATGTTTTCTCCCAAGTGCAGGAGTGTTGAAGTAATAAATAACCCGACAAGACTGGGGGTTGAACCACAGGAAGGTTAATTGTACAAATTATAAATAACAATAATACAACAACAACAACAATAATAGTAATAATAATACTAGTAGTAGTAGTAGTAGTAATAATAAAGAAAAAGAAGAAGAAGAAGAAGAAGATGATGAGAACTTTGAGATAAAATATTAATGTAAGGATTAAACAATGATAATAACAAATGTCAAGGTTAGAGGTTCCACTAATGGTATGTCAAACAAGTATAGTATAAACTCTTATTACTCAATTGGAAACCACACACAAAGAAGATTCCAATCTGATTATAGATTGTTAACATGATTATATTAGTCATCCTATTCGATTAATGCTAATACTTGTAAATCTCGTCAAGTATTCATGATTATAACTTATGTTAACAACAAATCAAGTTCCTTTCATAGCTTAGGTGTCGGTTATACTATACAGTAAGGGCTATGAAAGTGTCAAGCATTTGTTGTACCAAGTGTTATACAACATAAATCAAGATTAGTCATTTAACAAGCAAAGTATTAAAGAGTGAACAAGATAACAAATATAAAACATGTTAGTATCAAACATTAAAGTCCATATTAAGTTTACACTATACTTATTCTTACACTATTAGTGTATCCTTTTCACTTTGACATAATAAACTTAGCTAAACATAATGAAAGAAAGAAAGAAAAATAAACAAACTAAGAACATAAATAAGATAAAAGTTAACTACGTAAATGAAAGGAAATGAAAGGCATAAATTTAATATTAATGAAAGCAAAGCATAAACATTACAAAAAATACAAAGAGAGAAAGCAAGAGCATGATCTTGATCTGGAGACCAAAATGCCTAAATGCATGGCAAATACCTCCTTTTATAGGCCAAAATTAGAAACTATTGATTTGATGAGTAATGATTTGAGTGGGTGACCAACTCTTGACTTGATGACAATCATTATCTTCTCTTGTCTGCCTAAAACGTCATTGATAACATCAAAATTAGAGCCACCTAAAAACATGAAAGTTGTAGGAAATTATCTCAGTTTTCTTGTGTAAAACATTCAGATCATTTGGACTTCTATAACTCTAGATATGGGCCAAACACTGAATAGTGCTCGGGCTGGAAGACAGATTTGGATCTCTTTGTTGTTGCTCCAATTTAGACTTGAAAATGACAGTTTTAGATCTTGGGCTCCATATGAAAATTGTAGGCCTATGTCTTACCTTTCCATCCATATAAAGTAGACTTAAATATGAGATCTACAACTCCAGATATAACCTAATTACTGAACAGTGTTCTGGTTTGGATTGCACCAACATCTCTTTTCTAAGTTTGGCCAGCTCTTTGTCCTTTCAATTTCAGTTCTTAAATTCATCAATCAATCCTTTCATTTATGTGATAGGCCTGTATTTAAAATGAACATTTACCATAAATTAAAAGTATCTTATATTATTAGATACGTTATTATAAAATATGCTTTGGTTAAGGAGTTATTGATACTTCAAGTGCAAAATAATGATACAAAACCTTAATAAAAATGCACTTTTAAGTACTAATCACCCCCCCAACTAGCTTATTATTAGTCTCTAGTAATCAAAGCATTAAAATAGAAAAATACTTTACAAATTGCCTAGACTACCTGGTAAAGCAACAAAGGCATCAGCATGGTTAAACATTGCATTCATTCGAGCCGACATTGTGGAGACATGTAGTTCCTCTCCAATTATTTTTTCAATGATGTCCCCTTGTGCTAAAGCTTCGGGGACGACCCCCGAAACTTGACTACTTCCTAAAAATACAACTATTGACACACCTCGTATTAACCCTAGACTGCCTTCTCCATACACTAAATGAATCTTTCTCTCAGTTAACACTTGACCAAGATGATTTGCTGATTCTAAAATCTCCTTTTCTTTCCCAGGACTAGTTCCACCGAAAACACAAATATTTCTTATGTGATGACGTAATGAACTTGTCATTTCTACACACTTTTATATTTGTTGAATGTATGGGTTGAGTAGAAATGAAAGGAAGGAAGAGAGGATTTTATAGATGAGAAACTAAAAAGGCAATCATACCACCTATATGTAGGCTAGCTGGAGTCTCTCTCTCTCTCTCTCACACACACTCTTTATTTATTTATTTATTTTTAAAAAAATGCATATGTATGTACAGGTAGTTGTGATTGTGGCTCATATCTTCCCTTGGTTTTACGTCCAAGAACGGCTTAAACGCCCTTTATGGGTCGGGGATAGGATTCTCATCCATTTTTCTTAAAAATTGGCAAATAGGGTCTTTTTTAGTCAGATTCTCAATACTATGTGCTTGACCGCTTTTTATGATCGACTTGTTTTAACTCGCAAGTGCACGAGTGTGCGATGTAGCAATTAACTCGGTAAGATCGAGGTCATATCCACAGAGAGCTAGATCTGGAAATTAAGCTAAGTAACAAAAAAAAAAACTCGAGAGAAATTAAATTAACAATAACTTGGTTGAAAATAATTGATGGATTTGTTTTCAAAGATAAAAAAAAAATGTAAATAGATTTTAAATGACAAGAAAAGGTAAGTCTTGGTCCAAATCAATTTTAATGGTGATGTATTGGTGATTTCTTCAACATATATAAGATAACTCAACCTAATATCAACGATGGTGATATTAGATCAGAAGATATTACAATGAAGATTAGAAAGATGAAGATTGATTATTGCTTAAGAATGAACAAGTACTTTCATATTAAGTAAGATATTGAATCAAGCAATCTCTATACCAAAACTAAAGTTTGTGCATAAAAATTCAAGATTATAACATTACCTAAATGATTTCTAAAATTTCTTTACAATAATAAATCATTCATGAAGAAAATAAGAAGATAAACATTAAGATTCATTCATATCCTAAAGAACTCACCTCAATCACCATTATCCTTGATTTGGATCCAAGAAAGAGTTTAGCCAACCATGATTATATATAAGAACACTTCAATAAACATTAAAGAACATGAATCCAACTGAAATAATAAGTTTTACAAACTAAAGAACCGAAATCTATAAAGAAGAACACAATACAATTTCAGAAAAAATTCGGACACAAATCTGACTCTAACTTTGGACAGCAATTCGACCCTCTTAGAAGATTTGTTTCGAGAAGTCTATTAGAGACATATTTATAGGAAATTCTGTCACCTTTCCAGATCATTAAAGAACAGCGCATTTGGAAACCTGAGTCA